TTGGGGGTGCTATTGGTGCCGGCTATGGTAGAAAAGAAAAAGAAAAGAAGGAAAATAAAGAGAAGAAAAGAAAGAAAAATAAAAATAAATATTAATATTAATAAAAAAATTCGAAAAAATATTTAAAATTTAAAAAAATTTATCCACGTCAACGCCAGTCGTACCATGTAAGGCGGCTAACGTCTACGTCAGTAATTTCAGCCTAAATTCGGTGGATGGACTCAATTAGCACAAATACGAAAATGTTTAAGAATAAATTGATTCAATTAAAAGCTTTATAACTAAATTGGTGTCAATGTAATATGTTTAGGACTTTTTTGGTACTTTTCCCCCCATATAGTGAATAAAATATAATAAAATCCCAGAATCTCACATCCTATTTTATCAAATTCTATCATGGTTAAGAATTCAGACGATCAAATGGGCTATACTCGCTAGATAACTAGAATGGACGCATGTAGAGGAGAGAAGGTGAAGTTGCTCCATGAAACTTCCTTTACGATATCCTGGTCTTTTAAAATTAATTTTTAAATGAACAGAATTCAAAAGATCTAATGGAAGGATATAGGCCACGATGGAAACAATGATATAAGTAGTGGCTCTCCTATTCCACCATTTCCAAGCATTCTCTTTTTTAACTCTATCAATGTATTTAAAATAGTGTGTTCCCGTGTAGTTTTCAACTCATTGGTATATAAGGACGAAGACCTAATGGAAGGCTATGGGGTGTTCTTCTTCTTATGGAACAGAGACTATACAAGTTTTTGGGAACTACTCAATGAGGGTGCCATCTTTATTTATGGAGTGGAACTCGTCATATCAAATCAACTGGCTTATGTAGCATATATATTTTAGAACAAATTCATCGTCATGGCCAATAACTATTCCATTGGACCTTCTCATTTTGTTCAAAATGTTCATAATATGGAACAAGGAGAGTTTCTTCTCTCTCCAGCTTTCATGTCCAATATATTCTATAGTCGCTTGATGCAGTTCCTTATGGCAATGGATTCTAAATACTGGTGGAGAACACATTAAAGGAGGCATAAGCATGAGCCCCACAATCTATCAAAGCTCACTTGAGCCAACTAAACACAAATTGGGTGGGCCTAGTCAATAAATTCCTTCCTAAGGTTCGGCCACTTACATAGCCCTTTCCAACATGCTCAAATCTGATTATTCATGAGTAAAATCTAGTACTTTTTAAAACCAAGGGTGCAATTAGACACGGATTTTTAGCCTGAAATATTCGCAAATCGCCTATTGTGCAGATCAACACTAAAGTAGTGCAACCAACAGGAAATACACTTTCTTAATGTGAATAGCTTCCTAGAAAATTAGCACTGAATGTGTGCATAGTGGGTCTTTAGGAGTCTTAAACTAATCAAGCGATAGAAAGTAACTTTCATATCTCTGCACCGATCATCCCAGCTATAATTGGCAATAACATGTAATATGCTTACAAAACATACGCTCTTTTAATTACCTCTTGAGTGCATACAAAGAATAATGGCTGAATATTGGACCATTTGGGAACTATTAAAGAAAAGATAAGTTCATGGATTGAGTTAAAAAAAGAAGAAGAAGAAGTCAATTTGAGTACTGAAAAGAGTATCGACAAATTCAAGGAAAAAAATCTAATTAGCTCTCCGACTTTCATACATGGTCGTATTTGGCAAGAAATATAACCAAACAAGATAAAAGATGGAATGTTTATCTATAAATAGGTAGATAAAACATTTTTAGGATTTCGTATCTCGATTATGCTATACATGGAAACCATCTAAACTGACCAATTGCAAAACGAGACGTGGATAGATTTAATTGGTGTCACGGCCCTATAAATCGCAGCTAATCCGTACTCAATCATGTGCGAGTGCAAGAGTAAATCTCAAATATATAGCGATGGAGGATAAGACTCAGAAGAAGGTTGCTCTGAAAAGTCGATCTCGTGATCCTAAGAGGGCTGCAGATGTCAATTCAGAATGTTCGCTAGAGTCGTTGATTGTACTCTTCGGCTTGGGCTATGCAGCCTTGTCTCATGGTCGTCCTCGCAAGCAAGATACTAGGAGTGCTGCTGACATCTATTCAGATTGTGCGCTTGAGTCGATAACGGTACTCTTCAGGTTGGGCAACGAGGCCTTGTCTCTTGTCCGTCCTAGCAATCAAGCCAGTCTCGGCCGGGTCGAAGATCCAGGCACATCCCCTTCTCATGCTCTTAGGCAATCCGAAGGTGAAGAAATGGCGACGTTGCGTGAGCCCTCCGAACAGAACTCAGAATTGTCGAAGAAACCGAGAGCCGCAAGAAAGCGCCTTGTTGAATTCCGACGAGAGGTAGAGAAATGCCCAATGAAAAGCGAGTGGGAGGCACTGCTGGACCAACTCTCCTTGGAAGAGCTGAAACTTCATAAGAGAAGGCATGAAGAATGGAGCGAGATGTTAACACAAGCAATTGAAGACCGGACAACTGATTCTCATGACAGCAATTCTGACGATCCTCCTAGTACTGATTCCTAGGAAATTTCAGTGTCCTTGAAATAAGTTGTTTTGATAATGTAATAAGTGAGCTCATGCCGCTTACAATCTTGAAATAAAGTGTGTTTCTTGATGATACGTTCTTCTTGCACATCCACTTTTGAGCAATCCTGATCGATAATATTCCGATTTTTGGAAATGCAAAAATTTGGTGAGTCAAAGGACTCAAATATGGTAGGTTTTGTTTTCTGGATGCTTATCATTTTATTTCCTAGAAATGATTGTGGTACTTATATAACTTTTGGCGGCAATATGATTAATTACTTGCCTCTACAGGAGATTGTGTTTTCGAGGATGGTAAGTTATCATGGTAACTTTCTCCAATTGAAGTAATATGAATGCGCATGCTTGTGGATTATTGAATTGTGTGTTAAACGTCTAATGTCCCACATGAAGATTAAGGAAGTATTTGTGTCGCCGAGGGATTAAATTGAATTTGAACAAATTAGCCCTTACGCACACGAGTGCTTCTCGTAGTTATAATGAAAAAGATAACACAATTCTAGCAAAAAAAAAATAGAAAAAAAGAGAGAAAAAGAAATAGATAAATGTTGACATCTGAATTTCGCCGACAAGTTCATCATCCTTCTTCCAAATAAAACCATTTCGGCAATCAAGTTTTCCTGTAATGGTGGGAATTGACCCCTATGAAAAAGTAATTGGTTTATATGACCCTGCATTCCTTGTTCTTGTAGACTAACCTATCTTGGAACGATAAGTGGGTAGGTTTAATTGGTGCCACGATCCCGTAAATTGTTGCTAATCCCCACTCAATCATGTGAGTACGTGAGTAATACAAGACAATTTCAAATACGTTACAACCATGGCAAATACGACTCAGAAGAAGGTTCCTCTAGGAATTGATTTACCGATCAATTTGGTACAATTTGGAAGATTGTTCATAAGATAATACTTGTTAAATGACATAAGACTACTTATTAAAACTCTATTTTCCCTTCATATTCTATTCCGACTTGCAACATGATTAATTCATCTTGTAATTATGTGCCTTCATAGGAAATTTGGTCCTTTCAAGGATGGCAAGTTACCGTTGGTAACTCAATCCCATTAAAGTAAATGAATGTGCATGATGACTAAGAAATGCCTATGCTTCACCAAGGATGTAATAAATTGAATATCAACAAATTAGACCTCATGCTCAAAATTGTAAATTACTGTTCAAACACTTACCCATGCCCATCATGTCCATTATATTCTGAAATGGCTTGATGCACTTCCTCATGACAAAGGATTCCAAATACTTGTGGAGAACACACTAAAGTAGACAGGGTCATGAATCCCGCGATTTATTGGAGCTCACTTGAGCCAACCAAACATAAATTGGGTTCGCCTAGCCAATATTTCCTTCCTAAATTTAGGCAGCTTACATAGTCCCTTCGGACATGCTTTAGAACGTTGGAAAGAAGAAAGAGGAGAAGGTGGAAACTTTCTTCGTGTTTCGAATTATGCACACAGTGACCAGGATTAGGGGTGAGCAGTTCCAGGTTCCGGGTAGGTTCCGCCTGGAACCTGGAACCTACCCTCGGGTACAGGTTCCTCAAAATGAGGAACCTGGAACCTACCCCTCAGAACGTGAAACCTGGAACCTACCCTGTCACAGGTTCCAGGGTCGGTTCCAGGGTCCAACAGGTTCCTTTTTTTATTTCATTTTTAATTAAACAAAACGAAAAATGAATGCAATAATACCGAATAAGAGAGAATACAAAACAAACAAAATTACCTGCTATAGACTCCGACCGTAATCCTATCTTGCTAACTCTCTCAGCGGAACCTGCAAAAAGAAAGAGAGAAATTAAGTTTGAAGCATACTGGCTTGAAGATAATGAATGTGGTCAGCTAACAAAAAATTTTCTAATTGATATCATATGAACTAACAAGCATTAAAACAAGGAAAAGAAGTGGCATGTTACAATTCTTGAGAAACAATAAGTCATTGCACAACTACGGACCATAGAAAAAATTCAAAAATGGGTTACTTTTGACCAACCTACAGCTATATATAACCAAGAAAAGAAAAATGCGTACACATTTTACCACACGGAATGAAAGGACTTCTCAAGTTATAAGCTTGACTACAAGTGCTTTTATTCTGAAGAGCAGAACAACGAAAGCATTTATCATGAACAACACACTTCAGAAAATTATGTAACCCAACACCATCTTCAGAAATCACAAACCAATGTGCATCCTGACAGTCCAGCAAACCGGAGAACATAACCCAACACCATCTTCAGAAATCACAAACCAATGTGCATCCTGACAGTCCAGCAAACCAGATCCCTATGTTCTCCATAATCGGCCAGTAATGAAATGAGGAGGCACACAGACATAGACTCAAATCGCGGGAGAATGAATGCGATATAGATGAATCGAAGACTAATGTTGCGATTCAAGTAATGAAATGGGCAACCAAGTGTTTTGGTTCAAAAGTTTTTCCTTAAAAATAAACATAGCTTCATTCAAACATTATTACAAACATATGGTGGTCAGTTCGTACATATGGCACAGAGACAAGCTTGTGTGAGTCTGGTTCAAACATTTGGTAGAGCATGTGGTATGCACGTGGTAAGGAGAAGGAATTTAACATTTTCCGAAATCGGACTCAGATCTAGACCCAAAGAAAATCATTCCGAGTCAAACGAAAACTACCACGTCACCCGACCCAAACTCAGCACCCCTATGGATCCCAAGACAAGGAACTGAGCCACGACACCAAACACCCAATAAGAGCATCTCGATCACAGCAGCTGGATTTCCCCCCAATTCAGCACCATGGCACCAAGGACCACCATGATTACCCCCAACTCAGCTTGCTCTCCCCAGAAGCTACTCGAAATGCTCCACACGCGCGAAGCTCGGAGCACTGACTAGCGCTTCCAGACACGCACCGGTCGACCCGTTTCGCTGCCAAACACGAGGCAAAAGACTAGAATCGACTGACCGAACCGAACCGAAAACGAACGACCACCAGCATCCGAGCTAAAATCAAGCTCGGCGCTCGACATCGCGGAAGGGAAAATCGAACAGCGCGCAGAAATCAGAGAGAGCAACGCCAGAAGCTCACCTCGGGCTGATCCGGGGCGATTGCCGGAGGAATCCGCCGGGAAATGCAGGGGTCCGCAGCCGCGAGACGGAGGGCCGGCGAACGGTGAGGAAATCGTCGCTTCTCGCCGGAAATTCGTTCGATTACGAGAGTGTAGAGAGAGAGTGGCGTGTGTGTGAGAGTGAGTGAGTCTGTGGATGGGTTTGGGGGGTGTGCGTGTGTGGCGAAACGGATGCTTTGGAATTTCAAAGGTGTGATTCAAGAGGAGCAGGGAGCATTTAGGAATTACTGAATTAGGGTTTCTTCCGGTTCCAGGTTCTGGTTCCCGGTTCCGATCCGGTTCCGGTTACCGATTCCGGTTCCAGGTTCCGGTTCTGGTTCCTATAGGAACCGGGAACCGGAACCGGAACAGCCGATTCCTAAAAATGGGGAACCGGGAACCGGACCCTCTGTCCATGGAACCTGGAACCGAACTGGATTCACCGGATCCGGTTCTTCGGTTCCCGGTTCTACTCTGGAACTGCGCTCACCCCTAACCAGGATGAAGAGTGCGTGGATATTTATACCTGGGTTAAAGCCAAGTATAATTAAATGCTTCCTTATCCTAATCCACATATTCGTGAGAGAGAGAGAGTGACAGAGAGCAAGAGATAAAATCCAAGATAGCGGATGCCAAAAACAAGTGAAATGTTCTTATAATATTTGAAGAATTTCGCTTCCATGGCCACTACAGCTTCGTTGAAGAAGGGACTTTCCTCGTTTGCTAATCGAACCAACATCATGTATAGAAACGAAATGACTCGATTCCTTGAAGGATAATCTCTAATGCTCAAAGCATCAATTGCATCATTGAAAACATACAAGAAGTCACTAAAGATTTTAGCGACCCTATAATCTTATTGTGCCAAAGGCAGAAGACCGTCACTTCCGTTATAAGTGGTGGAGTAGAGCGATCATCTCCTGTATATCTTTTTCAACACATTGTATGTTGAATTTTACCCCGTTCTTATGTCTGGAGGAAAATTTTCAACTTCCCTTTCCAACGTCAAGTACACGACCTCCCCGTCTTGATGTGTCGGTAGGGTGGAGATCATGTATTGAACCTACTCACGTATGTTGACCATAGAATTGTAAAACTTGCGGAGACCGTCTCACTCACAAGTTAATGCAATGGCATGCACATAGCAAATTGAAGAAAATCCCATTGGATGCAAGATTTAGCTGTTGGACTAGAGGGCAGATCAAAGAAGTATTCATGCTGGCATTATCTAACCTGATGCTAAATATATTGTTGAAGATGTCCAACTTTTTGATAGCTCCCATTTCGTAAATCATGCGAGAATATTAGTTTCTTAAGCGTGAATGGTTGGCGACATAATTCCCTATCTTCGCTGACCTAATGGTCAATGACGACAAAGTGCGCGTAATTTGTAAGGCTAGTTCATAAGTCATTAATCAAAATGACTAAAAAGTTACCTGTTGACAGCAAATGTATTAACACCGCCCTTTCTTCTTTGTACAACGACTTGCAGTTTTTGGTGCTTGTTCCTCACTAAATGGACTTGAACTGAGGTTGTAGAGCTGACTACACGTAATGGACGAAGCGGGCATCTTTGAGGCATCTCAACATTCCTCACTTGTCACTAGGTATTCTTCGAGTCAAATAGTATTGCATGCTGCTCCTCTCATGCTCTCTTTGCTTCATCCCGTTTCTAGTGTTAATTCCATGTTACCGTAATTCTTCCTCTAAATAAAGGTACTTGGGGAACAAAGTTGCTGGAGTTGCAAGAGAAGGAAAGAATTGGTTATTGTCCCATCGATCATTCCCCCCAACGATCACAACTTTTGCTCCGAATTGAGTTAAAAGGCCAATTACTGATAGAACAAATCTCTCATGATAGAGCAACTTCAACAATCTGTGCCAATCCGTTGATAGATACAATCTTCCACAATTTGTGCCAATTCCGTTGATAAAGCAGATCTTCTACAATCTGTGCTAATGGTATAGATTCTTACCTTTTGTAAAAAAATTTCAATTGTGATTTTCCCGTTCATGTACATGCTTTAAATATAATACAAATCTCCACAGCGATGGGTGTGTGATCAAATTCCGATTCATATCTTGCATGGTATAAGAGCTTCTAATTTTTTTTTCAATCTTATTTGTCTTCTTCATTACAATGCCTTCTTCTACATCCTCCATTACCACCACCATCGCTGTTGACTCTCCATCCTTGCTAGCCCCCTCCCAACCACCATTTGCTCTCGGCAATATATCTCATGTTCTTCAAATCAAGTTAGATTGCAACAACTACCTTTTGTAGCGAGCACAGTTTCTTCCTTTATTTCGTCTTCATGGGTATCTTCAAATTGTGGATGGCTTGTATCCTTGTCTGGCACCCACTATCACTACTGCTGAAAGTATCCACAACCCGGATCATACTGCATGGCGTTATCAAGATTAGCTCATCCTCTGTTGCATCCTCTCTACTCTTACTAAATCAGTTTTCTTACACATTGTCGATCTTGAGACTTCTCAAAATGTCTGGACTTCACTTGAGAAACTTTATGCTCCTCAATCTCAAGCTCGCATAATGCAATTAGAATATCAGCTTCGATCTCTAAAGAAGGGCTCTCTTTCCATGGAAGCCTTTGTTCAAAAAGCTAATAACATTGCAGATCATCTTTCTGCGGCTGCTCACCCCATCTTTGAGCATCCTCGGTGGCCCGGGTTCAAAGCATGATGCATTCGTTACCTCAGTTACATCTCATCTTGATCAACTACCTCTTGATGACTTCCTCGTCTTTCTTTACAATCAGGAAGTTATTTTTCAAATCTGCACCATTGAATCTCCGATAGAGTCATTTCCAATTGTGAATGCTGCAGTCAAAACATCTGATGCCCTGAACACTCTCTCCAATGGTTGATGACGTAGCCGAGGATGAGGACGTAGCCAAGGCCTTGGTCGCAATTTTGGAGCTTACTCTCATTCTCGAATTATCTATTAGGTGTGTTGTTGTACATGTTGCTCAGCTCTCCAATGCTACTAGCAATTTAATCTTAGCTATAAAGCCAATACCGGCTCTCCATCTACAATATATGCCTCTTCAACTGGTAGTCGTTTGACCCATACTAGCCACTCGTCATCTTACAGCTGACATAGCAAATTTGAACATTCTGAATGACTATTCCGGCATCGATCAAATTCGCACTGCAAATGGGTCAGGTTTGAAAATATAACATATCGGTTCTTCCATCTTACATTCTCTTACCCGTTCTTTTAATTTGTGGATTGTTTATCATGTTCCATCCATCAAGAAGTATCTATTATCTGTTTCTCAATTTACCAATGACAACGATATGGTATTTGACTTTCATCCTACTTTTTGCTGTGTCAAGGATCAATCCTAGGGGAACCTCCTGCTCAAAGGCTAGAATAAGATTGGACTCTATTATCTTAATAATGCACGTACCACCAATAGGGATCCTCTACAGTCCAATAAATCACTGCCAGCTCCATCCTGCTTCATTGGTGAATGAGTTTCTACTTCTATTTGGCAAGTGCCGCTGTTTGCATTAATTATTCGTCTATTAAGCCCCAATAGTTTCAGGGGGTGTCCACTACAACAACAATTCCGTTAAGTTTGTCTAATATCATTGTCAACTCCTCATCACAACTTCAACAATCATCTACTTCCACAATTCCATGTGGATCCTCTTCTCCAAAAGCTCCACCCTTCCCATCTTCTCAACCTCAACCACCAACTTCGACCCATCCAATGGTCACTCATCTAAAAAATAACATCCGTAAACCAAAGGTTTTTCTCCCACTAAGCACCCACCGTGTTCTTGTTTTTACTCAAGCTTGACACCAAGTGAACCCATTTGTTTTTCCATTGCAAATAAAGACCATAACTAGTAATAAGCCATGGCCAGTGAATTTAATGCTCTCATTCAAAATGGCACTTGGGAACTGATTCCTCATCACCCTTCCACGAATGTGATCAACTGCAAGTGGATTTATCGCCTAAGCACCACGGTCGATGGCTCCATTGATAGATACAAAGCATGAGTCATTGCGAAGGGCTTTACTCAATAGGCTGGCTTGGACTATAATGAAACTTTTAGTAAAGTTATCAAACCGATAACAATTCGAGTTGTTCTCTCCTTAGCTGTTATATATAACTGGTTTCTATGCCAATTGGACATCAAGAATGCATTTCTCCATGGCATCATTAAAAAAGAAGTCTACATGAAGCAACCCAATGATTTGTTGATTGACGTTATCCTGGCCATGTACATTGTCTTCTGGAAAACTCTATATGGACTTAAACAAGCTCCAAGGGCCTAGTTTTGTCGGCTAAGCTCATACCTATTATCTATCAAGTTTGTGACCACCACTGTTGACTCTTCATTATTCATTCAACATAGATGTAACCACATTCTGCTTCTGTTCATCTATGTTGACGATATTATCATTACTGGGAGCTCTACCTCCTCTATCACCGAATTAATCACTCAACTTGGCACTGAGTTTGCAATCACTGATTTGGGAAATCTATCCTACTTTATTGGCATTGAAGCCTATAGATCTTCTACTGGGCTGTTCCTCACTCAATTCAAGTATGGCGCATGGCTAATGCAAAACCTTGCTCATCGCCTATGGCTCCCTCGGCTTCTAAGTTGTCAAAGCAAAGTGGTAAACAACTGACCAATGCCCCCACATATTGGAGTACGGTTGGGGCACTGCAATACCTCACCCTTACCAGGCCAGATCTATTCTTTGCTGTTAATAAAGTGTGCCAATTTATGCATTGTCCAACTGTCGATCATTGGTCAGCCGTCAAACGGATTTTGTGCTATCTCAAGACTACAATTCATCATGGGATTACCTTGCGGCCTATGCGCCAACTTACCTTCATTGCATTTACAAATGCCAACCAGACCGGCTGCCCTAATGACCCAAAGTCTACTAGTGGCTATTGCATTTATTTTGGTCCCAACTTGATTTCCTTGAGTTCTAAAAAGCAACCAACTGTCGCTTGGTCAAGTACTAAATCGGAGTACAAAGGGGTGGCTAATGCACCCTCTGAATTACTATGGCAATTACAACTCCTCCAAGATCTTCGATACACTCTCCATCGGTCACCACTTATTCTTTGTGATAATGTAGAGGCAATCTATCTGCTCACGAATCCCATCTTCCATGCACGAACCAAGCACGTGGAAATAGACTATCATTTTGTTCGTGATTTA